CCGTAACGTTTTGGTGATGCGGCATTCCGAGGTCTCAAGTACTAATCTGGTCTCGAAACCGCGACGATGTACTCACCGTACAGAACGCGCAGATCGACTCGGTGAAAACAACTTGCTATATTTTAATAAATGACATCCCGAACTGATGTTGCTCAGAAAGTGCATGTTTTAATTATCTTGAAGTGCTTCTCTCATACCGATGGTGCTAATAGGTACACGAGTAGTACACGAAGAGACAACCACTTGAATCAGATCAATTTGAAGCTACTGATACTGAATTACTACTCAAAAGCGCTTAATCGCAGCAGAGCGAAATCGAATGGACTGATTTAAAATAAACATACCGTAATATATACTCAACTCACTCCGAAAGGTTGGGATTTTTGGACACCCTTCCAGACACTTTTTCTCTGACAATATGACGTGTGGGTACATTTGCCTGCACGCTAGATGGCTCGATGTGGTAAAAAAATAAAATAATAATAATAATAATAATAATAATAATAATACAAAAAAGAAAGACGCTGGAATCGAAAAGCAGAAAAGAGTGCGAAGCGTGGGATCGCTCTTACGAGTGGGGAAACACCACCTAGAGGTGGTAGAAACGCCTCTCCGATCGCGGCTCTTTTCTTTCTTCTCGATTCAAATTGTGGGAAAGTTAATTCGGCACGAAGCATTCGAAGGCAGGCTGAGAAATCCGGGAGAAACGATTCTCGCTCGGACGCCACTTTCTCCACGTGCGACGACGAAATTTCGAGTTCTTGGCGACGGGAGATCGCAGATTCCCCCTGATGTCGAAAGTGGCATCGGCGAAGATTCCAGACGTTTGCATCTCGAGTCGATACCTCTTTTCACTTTTTCGATCGGAGATATTCGTTCGGATCGGCGATCCGTTCGCTCCGAAGTCTCGTTTCTTTGCGCGTACGGGCGAGATCCCACGAGATTACAATTTTAATGCGAGGTTTCGTACGATCGGCTTCGATCGCGTTCGTTCTTCGCGACTCGAGTTGCCGTTCCGAACGGATCCGTTCGGAACGGCATGAAGAAAAGGTTTTTCTCTCCGACGAGGCAGGGAGAACGGCGAGGGATTCTCCCGCATCCGTGCGAGATACCTCCATCTCTGCGGGGGTGGAAGCCCGGAGTGGCGAAACTGTTACTTCCATTCACGTCCTTCTTTTTTCGTCCTGCAGATCTTTTTCGGGAGGAGTCGGGGACAAGTCTCTCGGCGGACGATCAGTGAGTCCATCCCGTTTCCTTCTTTTCCCTCTTTTTTCGATCTCCGTGCCGTCGGAGCGATCGCGGTTTCCTTCAATGGAGGCAGAAAACAATAAAAAGTGCAAACGTAACGTCGCGAGGGTTGAACGTCCCTTTCCCCGTCCCATTCCGTCGGGGACGATCCTTAACGAGAAAACTATTCCGACTCTCGATTTTTCTCACCATTCAACTCGGGGTCCCTGAACTCGGGGCACGTAGCCCGTTGCTCGCCCTAAGCTCTCCTTTAGTTCATCGCATTCCGAGCTTTTATTATCCTCGTGTACGAGTCTCACATGCTCGTGTCTCTGGCGGTGATTAATTTCTCGGAATGAAGTGCCGGAGTTCGTTCCATGTATTACGTACGCCTATGGGGGGAGGGGGGGGGACTTAGGGACAAGCCTCCTTGGAATTTTTATGTGCAACATCTCGCTTTTCGAGCACAAACTGAAGCACCGTCAGTTTCACTATCAAATTTTGTAACCATGAACGCTAAAATAATAACATAAGGCGTCGAGGAAGTCGAGTCCCGGTATTTCATTTGGAGGTACTGTACCGGAGTCCGGCTCCGGATTGGTCCGGCTAAGATGAAGCACATACCTGTATTCGTAAGCAACGAAGGAGAGAAAATCGAGCGATTCTGACACGAATTTGTGGCAGAAAGCACGATGATGCGTGACGGAATCGGTTAACGTTTCGAGGTCGTTGGATGAACCTTTGCTGGGAAAACTTGGGAAACGAGGAAGCGTCTGGATGGGCGCGAAAGACGGAAAGACCGCTCGTGCCGGTTCACTTTCCCTCGCGATTCGTGCCGATTGACGTGGGCTCACGCCTAGCGTGGTTCCACCGAGCGATGCCGAGGCGACGTCGTTTCGCGAACTTCGCTCAGTTTTGCCAGATTTAACTCTTTCGTGCACAAAAATTTCAGGAGAAAAAAAATCCCTTGCTGCATATGTTTTTAATTTCAGAAAAAAAAACTTGTAATAAGATACATTTATTTGAGTAATACGAGGTGATTCTGGAAATAAACCACCATGCTTCGATGCACTAAAAGATGGTGGTACGATTTCTGTACCACCGACCACGAAAGAGTTAAGGGATTCGAGGACGGTCGTGAGGTCAGCACAACGAGGCTACTTCTGTCTTTCTTCCGTGGCCATTAATGGGATTTCATCGTTGGAAGTCGGAGAGCCGGAGGAGATGGATTCGGTGACGAATTTCGGAGAAATAATGGCCACATACCGTGCCGTTAGCGGCATTCGATGCCTTTATATCTCGGATGAGAGAATCGGCTACCCTGTGGTGTAAAACTCATCTACAGTAGATTGGAACTCGCGGTGTCGAGGAGTTCGAGCGTGACAAAGCGGTCCACGGTTTTCGAGGGCAGTATGTATCGTGGGGGACGTTTTCCACGTTTTCCACCAGATTTTACCGTCACGCGAAGGGTCCCTTGCCCTCCCATCCCAATATTTCTCTTTTTGGACGATGCGAAAAGCCAGGAATTCTCGCACCTACGAGAGGCCTACCTTCTGCACATCGAGACTTATTGCGGGAAAATCTGCTTCATCGCAGGTCGATGCTCTTCCTCTCCCCTCCTCTCGCCCCCTTCTCCCCTCCCTCCTCCTCCGAAGTCGAGGGTGTTCATCGCATCTATGACTCACGATGCAGAGTGGCTCGGGATGAATCGGGACGAGGGAAAACGAGCCTATAAACCTTGCCGATTCTCGCGAGGATGGAAACGATACGAGGCCGGCCTTCGGCTCTCTCGTTTTCCATTCTTGGAGACGGGAGCGAGTCCCGCCCCCGCGTGAAGAGACGGGTGTCCTTTGCGCCTCCCCTCGCCCTTGGTTCTCCTTTTTCTTCCGTCCGAAAGATGGAGGTGCCACCGATCTCGCGATCGACTCCCTCGCCTCTTTCTTCCTCGCACTTCTCCGAAGGCGTCCCCAGAATCGGCGAACCGGGAACGTCCAGCGGAGGAGAGCGGTTCGTCGAACTCCTCATCGCAGCGTAACGATGCGGCGAATGGAAGGAGTTCGCGCCCCGAGTGGCATAGGGTAGGGTCATCGCTAACGGATCCCGACGTCCTGCGTCCAGCAACGAACATCCCACGGACATACGAGGGATTCGACTCGTAGGACGTCGGTATTCCTCACCTTCCGCGATGTCCTCTGGATGTTATCTGTCCGACTTGGGATCTAAATAGGATGTCTCGGGGATGTCCCGTTGCTCATCGAGACACCGGGGTGAGAGCGCCGACGCTATTGGCGTTTCGACTCGAAGCCGGACCCCGGTCCTCGTCGGCTCTTCACCTCACCGGTGCCACGTAGGCGCCCGGCAGATGGCACCCAAATCCATCGTACGATGGGGGAAACGTCGATTCTGCTGGCATCGGTAGGCCCATAGAAAAGAATGCTTTAGGTCACGAGTTCGTGGGGATTTGTCTCGAAATCGCTCCGGGAAGCATCGGGACCGATCTGGGTCTGCAGCATCGACTACGGTTCTACCGCGCCGAGCACCTGCATGTCGCGACACGGATTCTCATCGTGTCGACCAGACGCGGAGATGATGGATTCCGGTCGGAGGGCCGCGCCCTTGTTACGGGTGTGGAAAATCCATTCGAACTGCTAGTACTGCCTGTGGGTTGGACGCTGGGAGGGCACACGCCCGAGTCTCGAAGAGGTGCGTTCTTTCCCCGCGCAGCAACCCGTGCCTCTGTGACCGACCTCGTTGAAGCCGGTGCAATCGGTAAAAGTATCCGCGGGTGGGTGATCGACGTCGCCGCGGTGTTGCCTCGTAGCTGGACGATAAAACTAGCGCAGAGGTCAACCGACATTCGAGGAGTTCCCACATCACGCTTGGGAGTTTGGCCCGTCTCTCTATCTCTAGAAATACAAGGTGGGCAAAAAAAAAAAAACAAAGCTATCATTTTTGGTGAGTTGTCATTCTGATTGTATGCAGCCGATTCTGTTGAAATTTGGTAGGCACATAGGGTGACTCAATTGGAGCCGGTGTGCCAAATTTCAAATCAAAATTTCAAAAACTATGAGAATGGCATTTCGTTTTCATCACCAAAAAAGTAATTGTTCATTTTTTCTTTAAACTTACTTTTTCTAACAACTGACAAAACAAACAAGCAAAAAAGCGGGAAAATAAAAAAATGCACAAACGCCAAAAACGACAGAACACAATTTGTTTTCGGTAGGTTCATTTCAACTGGAAAGGTGTTCAATGTGGCTTCCATTCCGTTGAACACAAGCCTTTAGTCTGTGACGCCACAGATGAATGACTCGGTCGATAAATCTTTTCGGCACTGCTTCCAAATCTTCCTCTATAGCACCATGCAGGGATGAAAGGTCACGAATTCACCCTACCTTTCATTCCGGCCTCAGGTTCACATCGATACTTTCCACGGCAAATTTTGTCGTGGGTCATCAGAAAATAAGTACAGCTCCTATAATTTTAGAACCAGAAGGCTGAAATTCGGTATAAAAACTCCAATTGAGTGACCCCATGAGCCTACCAAATTTAACAAAATTGGTATCGTACAATGAGATTGACGACTCACCAAAAATGACAGCTTTGGTTTTTTTTTTTGGCCCACCCTGTACGTACGCGTGTGCACCGGGTTGCCCATCTAAAACCGCACCTTTTCATTCCTTCCGACCCCTCGGACAGAGAAGTTTGGACTCATTTTGTCCTACGCGACCGAAAAGCCCTTCATCCCTGTTACAAGTTCACGAAGTGTTGTTTTGAAAAACGAACCGGTTCGGCCGTCGTGAAGCTGCAATGGCGCCCCGAATCCCGTCGGGCTCCAGAAAGGTGCGACTCTCCCTGGCTCCTCGACCCTTGCCTTCCCGACGCATCTTAATCGTTACTTTAATTATTGTGCTAAGCACTGTGATCGAACTCCACAGATGACGTACTCTACGACGCGAAAAAAAGTCGCACGTAGGTCTGAAATGAGCCACTTTAAGAGAGTCGAGCCACCTGCTCCCACGTAGGCTTCGATTACTCGAGTGCTGTCATGGGTGCGTGTCCTTCAAACTCGAAAGCAGCCGAACCAGACGGTTTTAGAAAACTAAATTTCTCGAGCATGGCATACCGAGATCGCACTTCTCGAGCGATCGATTGAGTCAAAACGTGGAGTTTGACTGAGCCACCCGCTATTTATCCAAAGTGTCATCTTACGACCGAGAAACTCGGATTTCATCGCACACCGACCCGAGTTCCCATGTCAAACCTTAAACGATACGGCTCGACTCTGTCGTCTTTCCGATGAACTCGGAAAACGCGTCGCCCCATTTTGTGCCCCCATCGTTTTTGTCGTTCGAGACGATACGAGACGACGGTGATGCTACACGGCGAGAGCATTCCGGGTGTCGGAATGACGAATTCTCGTGCGACGGGGAGTGGCGGAACACACAAACGTAGGCGTCGATCGAGGCGCGTCGCGACCGATCGTTTTCCATCGAACGGATATCGAACGAACGGGAACGAATCGTAGCGTGTCGCGTGCGATCGACTCTCGCGAGTCTCGAACGACGTAAAAACGAAAGGCACGGAAACGGGGCGCCGCTTTTCGATCGTCCCGCGACGACGCGAACGTCTGCGTCCGTTTCTCAGGCGGTAAGGAGGCGGTGATCGACGACATCGGGATCGAATGCGGGAGCCGGGAGATCGCCGTGAGACTGACGAGCGAATCTCCCTTCAACGGACTCATATATCCGAAGGGGTTGAGTCGGAATTCCACGTGCATGGCATCGTTCGACGAGACGAGATCTCGGAGGAGCGTCACTTACGTCATCCCCCTCTGGTCCTGCAACACCATGTCCACCACCATGGTGAGCGTGCCTTTTCTCGCGCTCGACGTAGGTCGCATCCACGAGGTGAGAGATTCTTGAGGGCGTGGCATTTCTCTTCGACAGCCCGACGGTGGGGTGGAGTATTTCAACACGATCGTCGTTCAGCCGCATCGGAAATTGGTGACGAACCAGGGGCGAGGCTATCACGTCCGGTGTCGATACCAGACGCAGGAGAAGACCGTCCAATCCGACCTCAACGTCAGGTATGTGCATACGGTCGACCTCGCGTCGCTTCCCCATGGGGCGAAAGAGTGCGCGATCAACGAGTGGACAGTCCCGTTTTCCGTTACGACAGTCAATTGGGGACGACGCCGCTGACGGCGACGGCTGCCATGCCGGCTTGCTACATGAGGATCTACTTTGGGGATCCCGGAAGGGGAGCCGTGGCAGAAAACGTTCGCATCGGGGATCCCCTCACCTTAGAAGTCATGCTGGATACCCAGGACATCTACGGATTCCTCGTCACCAACTGCTGGGTCCGAGACGGTCTCGGACAGGGTGAACAACCTCTCATCGACGAATTCGGGTCCGTTTCGCCCGTCTCGTCCTCCCCGAGGGAACGACGACGACGATCGCGATGACTCTGACGTTCACGACGATCTCTTTCTCTCTGCAGCTGCCCCGTGGACCCGGAGATCATGGGGCCGTTCGTGTACGAGGAGAACAAGCGAGTGGCTCGAGTGAATTTCCAGGCGCATAAATTCCCCTACACCCCATCCGTCTACTATCAGTGTAACGTCCGCCTTTGCATTCGCAGCGCTGGTGGCTGCGACTTCGTCGTGAGTCCCCCATCTCTTCCATCTCGCTTCTTACGTCATTCGACACGCATGCCCTCTTCCTTTCGCGGACGATCCCACGAGATTTCGAATCCGTGTCATCGTATAATTTTGTCTCGAAAAGATCTCGACGATAACCGACGTTCTTTCGCAAGTCGACCGTGATTCGGCGTAAAGGAAAACATAAATGAATGACGAATGAAATCGCTCATCGGGAGGAGTTCTGTTACGAATGCGATCCGACGACTCGTATCTGGAAATTGCAGCCTCCTAAGTGCCCGCCGGAAGGTGACGTGAACGGGTTGGTGAGTCGCACGAAGAGACAGGCCAGGAATAAGGCAAGGGTGGAGGAAGAGGACGACCGCACCATCCAGGTCTACTCGGGTCTCTACGTGAGCGAGGAGGAGGAGTCTCCGGACGATTCTCCCGAGATCCATCCCGTCGACCAGGTATGACACTCTCGGTCCATCGGACGAAACGATGCGATCGCCTCTCGATGACCCAGGTCTTCTCCGCAGGGTGTGTTTCGAGGGGACAAGTTCTGTCTGAGCCCGAAGAAGTTTGCCATCGCCATCGCGGTGGCGGGGCTCATCTTGATGTTGGCCATCGTTTTCACCGTGTTGCTCCTCATCACCCGGCGACGAAGACAACGACTGAAGGAATCTTCCACGTCCGGCTCCGGGTCCTCGTCCGTGTACTCCGGACCGTACTCCAATCAGGCATACTCCCATTCCTCGTCCTAGGGAAACGTCTCCCTTCGCCTCGCCTTGTCCATACCACAGGGCATTCTCATCGCTAAACAGAAAAAGTGCCAACGCCCTCGTGGACCGAACTTGCATCGAAGAAGCAATATTCTCCCTGATCCTTCATCGGGCAGCTATGATGATGTACCTAAAAGGGAAATTCGAATGAAACGGAGTGAAGGACTGCATGAATGATTGAATCACTTTATATCCTCTCATCTCGCGACGGTGCAAAATCTTCCATTTCCAGTGACATATTGTGATAAAAAAAAAGGAAACCGTCCAACTCAACCGCCTTTTTGCATGCTTGTCTTAGTTGTGACTCAGCCAGCTGATGACTCAAACGACTGCCAGAAGAAAGATGTAAATGCTACCCCACTCTCATGAGATTCCCTCCACCCTCTTTGTATGATCCTCTTTCATAACTTATTAAAAACCTTTCATCTGATGTGATCTTGTATTCATTTTGGAACAGGCAATTTCCTCGGCGGACCGTTGTGAAAATGTATGCCAAACTGGAAAAAGAGGAATCTGAAAGCTTCGTCAACGACTCATCCAACGAGAGACGATGCCTCGACCTTTGGCTGATTTCAAAAAGCAGTTTGCAGTTTGGTTCAAATTGCAGTTCAGACTTTGGTCTGATTGAAGTTCCACTGCGCTCCTGTCGACCCTCTATCACAAAGAAATCCCAATGGGAACTACAACTGAACGAAAATTGGAACTGTACTGTTACCAAACTGGTACTGGACTGCATTTAGTTCCACCTTTGCTTCTTTTCCAGTCCACCCTGGTGGTATTCCCCCGAGTGTCACCGAGGAACTCTCGAGGGAAATAAATTCGATACCATTAAGAATCATTCACGAGAATAGCATTTTTGCACGGTGAGGTTCTTCGGGATCGGAAATCGACGAACGCCGTTCAGGAAGGGAGAGAGGAGCAACACGAGAAATCACAGATCTGTGAATCTCGCGAGCATTTCGATGAAGGTCGTGCGTCGCACGACCGGAGACCGCATCTTAAAATTCTTCGAGGTGCACTCGCTCATCCGGGAATCTGAGCACGGCTGCAAAAAGGCGACGAAATTCTCGTACCGATTTGCTCCGATTCGACGAATGGGATGACGGACGAGATGGAAGGAATCCCGTGGACGTCGCACACTTAGACTTCGCGAAAGCTTTCGATGCCGTTTCTCACAAGAGATTATAGGCTAAATTGGAGGCGCACGGGATTCGAGGTAGGGCGATTAACCGGACGAGTGACGTTGACTGGTCGTCGGGAAGAGAGCAAAGAGTACTCGTAAACGGAGAAGTGTCAGCGTTCGTTAGTTAGACTCACGAAATTCTCAAGGCTAGCGAATATAATCGGGCAAATTTGTCGACGACACCAAAATGGTTTCTCCACGAGGGGAGAGGACAGAGCAAGTGCCGAGATGAATTTAAAGCTTTTGGACTAGTGGAATTAAAAAAAAAAAGGCACATGGAGTTAAATGAGAGTACATGTTCATTGCTTGCAAATCAATCATGATAACGATTGGTGAATCCGTTCCCAATGAGTGTAAGTCCCTCGTCCCTCTTATATGGCACTGGCAAGACCTCATTTAGAGTTTTGCGTTGGATTATGTACAGGGTGTCTCAAAATTCCGGACTCATGGGAATATTTCACTATTTACCTGTATTTCATTAAATGTTGAAATTGCATGCCATGAAGTTGCATACACCTACCAATTCTGTCACGTAACCCCCTCTGAATATTACTTAGTACCTCCAAACTTATTTTGGCACACCTCCATGGTGATTTTTGGCGATTCCGAATGTTCTCCTTCAGTTCGTCGATATTGCGTGGTCGTGAGTTATAAACCACTGATTTCAGATGTTCCCAATGTTAATGGGGTGAGATCCGGATCTTTACTTCATTTGCATAGCCACCCATTTTCTTCAATTATCTGATTTTGAAAGAAAGTTTTTGCCGCTTACCAGTTTTTTTTGCAATGAACTTAACCCAAAATGTCAATTTTTTATTTGTAGATTTTGATTCTATAGACTTTGAACAAAATATATATGTGTAACGTAGTTTATTCATTTATTCGGGAAAATCAAGAACGAAACAACGAAACTCCAGTCGCCCGTGTCTCATGCGGGCAAGTCAGTTTGGGGAAGGACAACGTCACCCTCATCAGAGACGGGCAAATCACAGAGGTGGTTAATTAACCCCAAATACCTACGAGTCCGGACTTTTGAGACACCCTGTACGAAGGAGTTAGAAGTGGTGTTCGCAAGAAAACAGGAGAAACCCCCTCGCGTGTCGACCTTCGCTTCGAAAGGATATCCGATCGTATCGATCCATCACATCGTTGAAATGACCGAGACCCATAAACGGAACCTTGGAAGGAATCCGTGCCACGATCACTTCATTTCTCTTCTGACCGAGCGCGAACGTGAGAAACGCTTTTAAAGGCAGTTATCATCGAAGAATCCCAGGCTCGACGAGGCGATAGGGCGCATTCGCATTCGAGATCGAGGGAAACAAAACCTTCCTCCACGAAATCATTTCGTTGGAGAAGAATACTTCCTCCAGATTGAAAAAAAAAGCTGGAAAAAGAACATCGCGCGCAGTGGCGTAGCGTGTTTGGCATGGGCTCTGGTGCAAGGAATGAAACGGGGGGCCCGCTGTCCAATTTTTTTACTATTGAATTATGTGGGAGTCATTTTTTTTTATAGAGATTTTCTCCGGCAGCATACACATTGTCGTCGGTAGCTGAAGTCAGTGAAGGCAGTGGCGGAGACAGAAATTTTTTTATGGGAGGGGGTCTGTTTCCTAGTTCCCAGCTCCCCCCCCCCCCCATATACCATCACCCTTTGCCCTATCGCCTTATTCATTTTTTGTCTGGGGTAAAAACCCTGAATATCTATTTCACAGGAGCTAATAAGCATTAATTGCTTTCTATATTTAAAAAATAGACTGCGAACTTGGTCAGAGGAGAGGCAGTTGCCCCCCCCCCCCCGCCCTCCCCTGCTACTTTATGCAAATACTTAACGTGTTCAATTTCCTTCGAGGGCCGCCTGGGAAAGTGGGGCCCGGGGCAACAGCCCCCTTTGCCCCCCCCCCCTTAATCCAGCCCTGGGTGAATGGTATTGAAAGTGACCACCACTTGATTTAACCACTCGAAGCGGCGTCCTAGTTGTAAGATGTCTCTGTGCAGTGTCGCGTTCAATTCCTCTGATTCCTTTTCACCTTTCTTTTCGGCTGCTGACTCTCACTTCGTCCCGATCCAAAGGGGCTCCCACCTAACGCCTCCCCCCTCCCCCTCTTCGTAGCTCGGCGTCTGGGCTCCTCTGGCCCGTGGACCCCGGTGCAGTCGCACCGCTTGCACATTCGGTAGCTACGCCACTGATCGCGCGACCGAATACCATCTCTAAACTCTACGCTCGACCGCCGTCCGCCGGTCTCGAGTCTCGGAAAAGATGACACCCGAGAGGCATCGATGCGATGTCGTCTCCGTATAAATCGTGCGAATTTTCATCTTTCTTCGGACGATTGCATTCGTGACCTGTCAGATTGCGATCGGTTGTCTCGGCCTCGCTCGAGAGAGCAGCATCGACTCCATCGTCTCCGTCGCTTCTTGGTGACTTTCGCTTCCGTTCCCTTCGCATGCTGGTAGGGAAAAAACTTTCCAACCGTAGGGTCGATGTCCCTGCAAAATGAGCGGAAATAAGCCTTCTAAGAGCAATACACACGGATGAGAAAATGAGAAACTCACGGGATGCCATGTTTCTTCTTGCTCCCAGCCTTTTTGGCCTTTGGCTCTTTATTACTCGTATTCTAGCTCTTTCTCCTCCTCTCGATGAGCCGTATCAGGCGGAGGGGATGGAAAGGGGAAAAGGAATCGTATGGATGTGCCAATATGGCCTCCGTGTTAATGTGCCTTCCTCTTCGACCGGTATGACTCCAACTCGAAAAGCCCTCCGGGCTGCTTTCAGTTCCAGTCTCATTGGAGGACATGCATCAGATTCGATTAACTTTAAACAAACTGATTCGTTTTTATAATCGGCGTCTATGGGAATAAGTTTATCTCGGTTAAACTGATTCCCATAGGGGCCATCGTGAGATCAGATTAGTTTAGCTTAAACGGATTCGATGTATGTCTCCCATTGTGTAGTTTTTTTTATTACTAGTAACTAAAGTTATTAGCAATTTAAAAAATAAAGCAAACAGCTAGTTGTGTTTACTTTCCTTTAATGGACGCTTAACCTGTAAATATAAATTGTTTCCATTTGAATTTGATTGCGGTTGCGCCAAGAGAGGGCCGACTGTTTCTGCAACGCTTCCAGAACGCTTTTGTTGTCCGTGGACAGTTGCTCCCAGAATGAATTTCTTCTCAGGGGGTCCAATGCTTCTTCCGCTCACGACGTTGGAACATCATGGAGAGGGACATCATTACTATAGATCTCGTACCATGCTGCAAATCGGTTACCCTTCTTCTGACTCACGAGTTCGTGGGAATCCTTCTCCTTCGTGCTTCGGCTGTGATTATCGGCTAGACTTTGATTTAGGGGCAATGCTGATCTCATCTGGTGTACAAAAACGCGAGGCACAGCTACCTTAGGGCCGAGTCTGCGAAAAAGGCGTTACGATCGCGAGAACAGGCCCAAAAAACTTCCAGTAAGTGCATTCATTCGCACAGAAGCTTTCCAGAATAGGAATTGAATCGGCCTTGAAAATGGCGTGAGGAACTAAATGAATTATTTTCACTCGAGAAAACAGAAGAGAATTTATTCTACAGTACATAAAAAAAAACATGTTTTTGGGGACAAAACATTTTTGGAGACATTTTATTGTAAGTGAAAACGGGAATTGCACGCACCTTGCATATTTGACAGATGAGCCAAGCCTCTCCTCCATTTCAAGGTTCAAAGTTCAAGGTTTGGGCAAGGAGTCAGGAAGCGTTTCTGACCGTCTTCTCGACGATAGGTTTGTACATGGGAGCATCCATCTATTCCCTACTTCCTTACAGCTTTATTGTTCATTTTTTTTGGTTTCCATTACGAAGTCGTCTAACCTCTTCAAGCCGGTCGCGGAAGGAGCAGAGATGACATACGTGGTATTCACCTAACACGTTCCACGCATTCGCTACACTACAAGAAAGTGATTTCACGACCGGAATCTCACCTGGGCCGGTCGTATTTCCCGCCTTTAGCTTCCCCGTCCGACTTGTGACATTACCTCTCGGATGACGATATCCTCGATGCACGCCGACGTGACCTCCGTCTTAGCCGGTACCTCATCGCGTTCGCTCTTGAAAGGGGATATTCCTCATCCCTTGCCGCCGTCGACCCCCATCTCTGGGGAATCGATTAAACCCATTCCACGTACCTCGACGAAGCCACAGCTCTGCCTGGTATCAGCCGAGCGATTTCGGGGGTAGCACCGCACCGTTCCCTCGAACCGCAG